GTGTCCAAAATGCAGAACAGAAACAAAAAAACCCACTGAGCTTGTTTTCCATTTTGTAGGGCATGTTTTCAGAAGGCCTCATGCATGGACGAGGAACTTATACGTGGGCTGATGGTGTGAAGTACGAGGTAAGGAGCCTGCATGACGTAGAGCTTTGTTACAGCTGATCGTTCTAAAGGCCAAAGTCAGGAAACCTCTTACCTGAGCACGATGGGCTCTCTGGTTCAACATGGATGTGTTGCTGGGAGTTCAACGATCAAAACCCCCAAGCTATTCTTCTCCTGAAACAGCAGTCATAGGAGGCTCCGATCAGTACTGTGACACAGGGGATGGAGAGGCGTGGTTTATGTCTTTACCCCAATGGGAGTTCACATAGTAGTGAGGGGGACCAAAGAGAATGCGTGAGCCTACAGTGCCTTCTCAGTCCTTTATCCAATGAGGACAGTTTAGACTTCCAGGCATTGGGGTTTGTCCAGATTGTCTGGATTTTGAGTAATTTTCATCACCACTGTGATATCCTGGAAGGCAATATTTGGTGAGCATTGTTGAGATTTTCAAGTCGATTGTCCACCCAGAAAGGGCCTTCCATCTGTTATCTTTTTCTAGGCAAAACAGTACAGTCCTTTTTGTTTGAGCTGTCAGTCTGTATTTGGTGCATTCATCCCTTCAGGGAAACTTTGTGAAGAACGTGCAGATGCATCATGGCAGTTACACTTGGCCCGACGGCAGTGTCTACGAAGGCGAGGTGAAGAACGGCATCAGGCATGGCTTTGGCATGTTTAGGTCGGGCGTCTGCCCCGTTTCGTATGTCGGCCACTGGTTTGAAGGCAAAAGACATGGCAAGGTAACAAAACCGTGCTGGGAGAAGCATCGAGATTATCGGGATGAAACACGTAAGGGCCAGGAATGGTGACCGCCCATTCAGCACGCGTGAAATGATTAAAAGTGTCAGTGCCTCAGCATTGGTTTGTTAAAGTGTTCATGCAATTTACTTTTTAGGGCACCATTTATTACAACCGGGAGGGCTCTTCCTGGTATGAAGGTGACTTTGTAAACAATATCAAAAGTGGATGGGGGATTAGATGGTAAGTGTCGTCCCCCCCCCAGCCCTCCTTTTTTGGTTGCATTTTTGCATTCGTAACTGTAAGAAACTAATATCTTCGGATTATTAGTATGTCAACATTCCACCCTTCCTCCATGTAGCATAGATTCAAACCCCCCCCCCCCATTTCTCAGAACAGATTGGTTAGATTGAGGAAGAATGACAGGGCTGTGGTGAGCTTCACATCAGCCTAGACCTCAGTTCACATCAAGCGTGCCAGCCGCTACATCTTAAGGGCAGGGGTCCCCAACACCTTTCAGCCTGTGGCTGACCTGTAAAATTCTGACACAGTGTGGTGGGCGCAACCTCAAAATGGCTGCCAAAAGAGGCAGAAGTGTCAGGAAGTGAGGTTTATGCATAACTCTAATAGGAACTCCAGCATTTTAGGCAGAAGCCCCTTTTGCTTAATTGAAAAGAGATTAAAACACCCCTGTATAAAACTGCTGTTGGTCTATTTAAAACCCATCTTGCTTGATAGTGTTAATACCAACCTAACTATGGCACAGTTGGCTTGCTTTTAAAAAAATATTTTTTATTTCAGTTTTTAAAAAAGAGTATGGGGGAAAGGGTATGGGGGGGGGAAGGAATAAGGGTGAGGCACTTTTTTTACCAATATTGAAGACGATATTTAAAAATGAACTAATAAATCTAAGTAAATCATTATAATATTATAACATTACCAATAACACTATTTCCCTATAATGTGCTCTCACAATTTCCAATCTAAAAATAGAAATTATAAGGAAGAATATATTTTAAAAATTCCCACAGTATTTTATGTAAATTTGAAATAATCACATAGCCATTTAAAATAATTTGTAGCAATGGGGAAATAACAAGATTCCATTTCACAGTTGGCTTTCTTGTTGATTTGTTCCCCTAATAGCTATAAGTCTAGCAATATCTACGAAGGCCAGTGGGAGAGAGACGTGCGCCACGGCGAAGGTCGGATGCGGTGGTTGACAACAAACCAGGAATATACAGGACAGTGGGTGAACGGAATACAGGTAGGGCTCGAACTTTGAAACAGCTTAGTACATGCCCAGAACTTGTATCTCCTTTGGGGAGGGGCTGAGACTTTAATGAATCATGGCCATATCATCCCCCCTCCAATATATCTTTCTAGAAACAGTAGCAAAGGGGACCATCCCAAAAAGTTGGGTGAGTCAGACCTCCTCTGCCCCCTCTATAATTTGAGTGGTGCATTTTACATCCCACCTCTCCAACCATTCTAGGTGGCTTACAAACAAAATTCTGAATGAAAAGAAAGGAAATCATGAGAAGACACTATAGGCATACAAAATAGCAAAAAGCTGTATTTCTATGAAATAGATGGAGTTGGGAGAGGTATGCTAGTCTTACAAACCCTGACAAAAGCCTGCTGATTTCAGACTTGGAAATGTATTTTATTCCCTGTCAAGGTCACTTTGGCCTTAGAGAAACAGCACCTGCTGGTTGTCTCTGATGGTTTAATTTTTCCAGCCCAAAGTGCCAGTGGAAAAGGGAGGAGGTAGTACCTGGCAGACGAGGTTCAATATCTCACCTATTAAGAGGAGCTGAAGAGGACTACCTTCTTGCGCATCAGGTTTCACAGAGACAAGGAATGTTCCAAACTAGCACATCCTAAAGTATGTTTTCATTCAACAAAGGTCCTATGGCGGACAGGGCTGTTTTTACTTCACCCAGAGATGTCTTTTCAACAAAGTCTTAAAATGTTTGCAAACCACACGGTGAATTTTGATGCTGTTCATCAAATCAAATTTATCGTTACGGCCAATTGACCAGCTGTTCATCTAATTAGAGCATGCTGAAAAGGTCTCCCAATATCTTAAAATATCTTTTTCAGCATGGGTACGGCACTCACACTTGGTATCTGAAGAGAATACCTGGTTCACAGTATCCCTTGAGGAATGAATATGTCGGGAACTTTGTCAACGGGGATCGCCACGGCCGTGGGAAGTTCTTCTTTGCCAGCGGAGCCATGTACGACGGAGAGTGGGTTTTCAATAAAAAGCACAGCATGGTAAGAAACAATGCTCCCTCTAAGCTGTGGAGTGTTGTGAGCAAAAATTCTACTTTGTGAGCTGCTGGCATTAAAGTTGTGAGCAAGCAATTTGGCTACTGCATAAATTAGTTTGCTCTAGAGCCATCCTTCCTGAGCTAAGACAAAAATGTGTGAGCCGGAAGCTAAAGAACTGTGAGCTAGTTCACCCTGACTCAGCTTAGAGGGAACACTGGTAAGAAAGCTGTCGACTTGTCCACGGTTGGAATAGCTGTTTTCAAGTCTGAGGGAGGGAAGGCAGAGCTCTTTTAGTGTTTTCCTTATCTCTGGCTTTCCATTTCTGTGGATGGCTGAACTCTTTTAGGTATACTGGAACCCTTGAAAACTGGATACTTTCCTAATTTAATTGCTTATTATGTATATTGTTAATACAGAATGTGAATGATGCAATAGTAACAGCATCTTGCTTCATTGTGCTACACAAATAGGGGCTGTCTGTAAATCAGGCTGTAGGTTTGATCCACTTTTTGCTTTCCCCCCCCCCCCCTTCCAGGGCAAGCTTGTGTTCAAGAATGGCCGTGTGTATGAAGGTGAATTTATAGACGATCATATAGCGGAGTACCCAGCTTTTCAGCTGGATGACATGGACATGCAGAACCTGAGTGGCATCTGCACTCCAAGTCCCTTTGGCACCGGTGAGTGGATTGACTTGCAACAGGAGGGTAAAAATAAGCATATACTAACCCAGTAATTTATAGAGGAACTTGTTTGTCCATGATTTATTTGTGAAACACATATGGTAATAATAAGTGAGCATCAGCAAAGTCAGGCATAGTGAACTTCACCCATGGTACGAATTGTGGCTCAGTGGCAGAGCTTCTGCTTGGCGTGCAGAAGGCCCCAGGTTTTGGGTATCTAACTACTGCGAAATGGTTCCCAGTTCTGAATTTCGTAGAGTCAGAAGAATTCATTTCCCCCTCATGGAAAAGTTATATCAAATGGATTTAATTAACATAGAAAGACTACTCTTATGGTATTGCTGCACCTGCGTTAGTATTATATATCACATCTAGGGTTGCCAAGGTGGGGGACTCCCAGCTTGGTCCTGGAGTGCGCACGTGCGCACTGCAACCACGTCGCCCGGCGTGGTCGCATCACTTCCGGGTGACGTGCACGTCACGTACTTTGGGGGTGGGGTTCCCCCCGGGGCCCGATCCACCGGTGGTGGGGAACGGGCCTCTGGGGCGGTGGTTTCCCCGCCCCCCAGGGGGACTTGGCAAGCCTAATCACATCTCAATTATTTTTACTTTACAATCAGCACAATTATGTTTAAGCACTTGGCCTGCGTTTAACTTCTGTACCAAAGAACATATTCTTTAATTAACCTCCCAAAAGAGAGGTCAGGAAGTCAACTGGATGTGTTGGTCGGTATTATATCTACTCCTGAAATTACAAAGTTTGCACAGATTAGTACATTATGTGATATCAGTTTCTTGTACTATGATTACACATTTTATATTTCTGTATTCGCTGGAAAAATTCTTCCCACTACATGTTGTTATCTTTGTACATGTGTTTGTTATTATTGTATGTTCTCTAAATATTTCAATAAAATGTTAATTACAAAAAAAAGAAGGCCCCAGGTTCCATCCCTGCCATCTCCCAATTGAAAGGACCAGGCAGCTGATGATGTGAACGGCCTCAGGCCGAGATTTTGGAGGGCAGCTGCCAGTCAGAGCAGGCAAGACTGACTTCAGCAGTCCGATCCAGGAGAAGGCCGTTCCATGTGTTCGTGTGAACTCAGCAGCACAAGCAGTCTTATTCCCGGGCGTGCGTGTGAGTCTTCTCCATGCAGGGCGTAAAGTAATCTGTCACATTCATTGTCAAAAGATCTGAAGGTGGCCATTGGCTGAGATGGGTTTTAAAGGGGACTGGGCAATTCATGAAAGAATTATGTTAGCTGCCTTAAATGGCAGAACCATATTCAGAGTGAGTGTACCAGCTGTAGGGGAGGGAGGAGCCATTATCTTCCTCCTGAGTGGGGGGGGGGGCGCTTCCTGGAGGCATCTGTTTGGCCACTGTGGGAAATAGCATGATGGACTAGATGGATCTTTGGTTAAATGCCCTCAGTTTTGTCCCTCCAACCTTTCTTGTGTATATGTGTGAGGAAGGCAGACTATACATGAAGTGAAAAAATAAATAGCCTGCAAGGTACCATACAAATATCAAAATAGATACATTAATTTATTATTATTTATTTATTAAATTTGATTTTAAACCACCCTCCCCTGGAGAAACCAGGCTCAGGGCGATGTATAACTTAGTATCATATAAACAGAATTAAAAACAAATGAAAACCCATAAAACACAGCAGTAACCAAAAGGTGGTGTTAACATTTTTTCCTAATGGTGCCACCGGCCTCACGGGGGCAAGGGGTGAGAATGCCAGACCGATGGAGCCCATCACTGCCCTCAGTCAAATGCCTGGCAGAACATCTCTCTGCCTTACAGGCCCTGTGGAACTGCATCAGGTTCCGCAGGGCATGGATGTTATTCGGCAGAGAGTTCCACCCGGTTGGAGCCGGGGCGGAAAACACCCTGGCTCTGATTGAGGACAGCTGGATATCTCTCGGGCCTGTAAGGCATTGTTTAGGCATTTATACATATAGCTTCTTTTGTCAGAACTGAGGTGCAAAGGCGGGAAAGGTGCATATAGTTACAATCACACATTCCACACGGGGGGAGCGGTGGCACAGGGGATTTATCCTCTGGTTACAAGTAACATCTGAGCTGAACAGAACTGCTGTCAGTTCTAGCCCCGCGCTGGTGTGAGCTACCAGCCTTGTCCCCAGCTCGCCGTCCACCCAGCGGTTCGAAAGCTTTGGCGAGTAGATAAAATGGGTACCACTCCTTAGAGAGGGTGGGCACACCAAACACCCCCCCCCGTGGGGGAGGTGTTAGCCAGCGAACGGAAGGTTCGGCTCGCAAGATCGAAAGCCTAGAAGATCTCTTCGGCATGAAGAAGCCTATAGTGGGCCGTTCCGGCCTGGCGGTGGCAGTATGGAGCTGCGAGCCGAAGAGTCCTGGAGAGGAAGAGCTGACGTCATCCAGCCAAGCCAAGCCGAGTGGGAAAAATGCCGTCCGGATCACGTCTGAGTTGCAACTGAACAAATCCCTGTCAGCTGCAAAACGTGTGCTATGTAAAGATTATATGTGTTGTCCTCCCTTACCCCTATAAAGCATTGTTAGTCCCTTGTGAAATGAGTAACTGTAAATCGCTCGGAGCCAGCAGCTCTGCAAGGATTGAAAGATTATTTATTATTTATTTATTCATACACGTCAGCAATCTACTCGGACCATAGGATTAAGGGCCCTCCTCTAGCTAATCAAAGATGTTTCTCCAAGGACATCTTCCTGTGTGAAACAATGTATTTTTGGGGCTCCATAGAAGGGTTACAACTGTAAGCGTCTACTCCTATGGACACATTCTCATGCATACTCTCACTCCCCTCCCCTTAGGAATGTGGTGGCAGGCGAGGGTAAAGATAGACTTACTAGAATACACTCTAAGGGGGAAAAACATTAAAGCAGGGGAAAATACATCAGGGAGTTTTGAATGGCAATAAAACAACCCGAGCCTGACACAGAGACAGCACCACCACCTGATCTCTAATGAGATGGGACTCCCAGAAAATGGTCTTTGATGAAGATCTTGGTTCCTGATCATATTGAAACGGAAGGATACCATTTGGAGACTGCTCAATCCCAAACCATTCAGGGCTTCATACCAGGGTTTTCACCGGTGCCCAGAAAACGCTCTTGGCAAACTGTGAAAATGTTTCAATAGTGGCATGATATGGTGCTTCCCAGTCAGCATACTGGCGGGTCTCTTCTGTACCAGTTTGTGGGCAGAGGCAGTCCCAGGTACACAGCACTGTGGGAATCAAGCTTGGTGGCGGCTAAGGCACGGGTAACTGCCAGGGCTTTTTTTCTGGGGGAACATGCCGGAATGGAGTTCCAGAACCTCTTCAACATAATTCTTTAAAAAATGTTTAAAAGTTTATGAGTTTTCAGTATAAAAAGTAAAAAAAAAAGCCCTGGGTAACTCTAGTCAGATCACCTCTTCCCAGAAGAGAGTATAGTAGTTGACTTTCCAAATGTGCCACTGAAAGGTAGTTCTTACATGATTCCATCGTCTGTTTTTTTCCCTTTGGAAAACGAGGAATAAATAAATTGGGCTTTTTGTCTCTCCCCCCCCCCCCCCCCCCCCCCCCCCCCCGTTATGAAGAAAGTATCAAAGTGGTCAACGGCCCAGGAAGTTTGCCTGTGTTGGGCTCAACCATTGAAATAGACATATCGACCTTGTTGGCTATATTTCCCGAAAAAGACAGGGAGGAGGAAATCAAACAGGTAAATTGCTTGCATGTTGCTATTTAAAAAAAATAAAAAAATCCTGGTACTAAATAGGGAGGGAGGGGGGGAAAAGAGTGTACAACAAGGATGTTAAAAGTAGAGGGAAAAACTGGGTAACTTTTTTCAAATACTGGAAAAGTTGTACTGAAGTCCATAGAGACCAATTTTCCTTCTGTCTCTTTGGAAAGCAAATCAAGAGTCCACTTTATTTCTTTGTTGCATGTATACCCCACCTTTCTCCCCTACATGGAGCCAGAGCAGCTTACATCATTCTGCTCTCCTCCGTTTTATCCTCACAACAACCCTGTGAGGTATGTTAGGTTTGAGAGTGTGTGACTGGCCTAAGGTCACCCAGCTAGCTTCCATGGCAGAGTGGAGGTTCGAACCTGGATCTCCCAGATTCCAGTCTGACACTCTAACCACTACACCACACTGTCAGTCTAGGATAGTCTCCCCCCCTTTCCAAACAGTTGGCCACTAGGACAGGTTGCAGAAGTAAGTAAGATGGAACTGAGTGTGTGTGCGTGTGTGTGTTTGAAAGAGAAGCTCCAGTTCAACCAGTCCCATCTCAGGAGGATCATAGTTTGTGCCTCTCTCACAGAGCAAACGGCGGGCCTCAGAGGCATTAATTTCTGCCTCTTGCCACAGAACAGCTATAAGGGACTGACTGTCTGCACTGAGTGAATGAGAGCCTTTCAGATGTTCAAAGAGGCATACTTCTTCCCTTAGGTGGGTAGATTTTCTCAGAAGTGCTCTAGGCGTATTCAGCTTTCACATGTGTTAAGTCCCCACCCTGGCTGACCTTTCATCAGGTGCATGTTGTCTTCAGTAGCCTTCATGTCAGCACCAGGATGCACTGAGCAGATGCGCCCAGCCTATTTCTATCAAGAAATGGGAATCAGAAACCCACAAGCCCCCCATTTCTGCCATAGAACAGGCACTTGACCCTCTCTGGCCCCATTATTGAATATTAATTCATTTTCTTACATATTTTGCAACTCCCATCCTTAACACACCCTGCACAGATACCACAGAGTATATTTGGTAAAGTATATAAAGGATGCCCTGACCTAGATAGTCCAGGCTAGCCCGATCTGGTCAGATCATGAAAGCTAAGCAGGGTTGGCCCTGGTTAGGATTTGGATGGGAGACCCCCAAGGAAGTTGGGGTTTGCTATGCAGAGGCAGGCAGTGGCAAACCACCTCAGTTAGTCTTTTGCCTTGAAAACCCTATGGGGTCACCATAACTTGATTGTGAATTGATGGCAAAAAAAGAAAAGGATTTCTGATTTATAGGTCACCTACTTTGCACTGTTCGTGGCTGCGTCTCAGAGCTTAAAGCGGATAATGCAGTAGCAAGATCCAGAACAGTGAATTCAACCTGGGAATCAGTGTTCCCTCTAAGCCGAGTTAGTGTGAGCTAACTTGTAGTTTTTTCAGCTCTGGTTCACACATTTTTGTCTTAGCTCAGGAAGGATGGCTCCAGAGCAAACTAATGTATGCTGTAGCCAAATTACTCGCTCACAACTTGAATGCCAGTAGCTCACAAAGTGGAATTTTTGCTCACAAGACTCCACAGCTTAGAGGGAGCATTGCGGGATCCCTGTTATCTGTTGCTGAACTGAACCGAAGGAAGGAACTTAAAAGCTACAGCTAGAAAAGCTGTGTTTTAATGCACCACTTGATGCACAATGGGCAGAGATACTGCTCCATTTATCAACCAAGAGCAGACAAACAGTCTCCTAATATTTACCAGATTTGGGCAAACTGGGGGCTTTATAGTACTTGCTGATCCCAGGGGCCGGAGTGCCAAGCGACCCTATTCCTTTTTGCACTTGAAGAGCAGCCACAATTCCTGGGCATTTTTCTAGGCTCGGACAGCCCAGAATGTTAAGAAGAAGAGATTGGATTTATACCCCGCCCTTCACTACCCAAAGGTGTCTCAGAGCGGCTTACAAACTCCTTTCCCTTCCCCTCCCCACAACAGACACCCTGGGAGGTGGGTGGGGCTGAGAGAACTCTGACACAAACTGCTCTTTGTCAAGGACAGCTGTGCCAGCAGGTGCAAGTGGAGGAGTGGGGAATCAAACCCGGTTCTCCCAGATTAGAGTCCGCACACTTAACCACTGCACCAAACTGGCTCTCCCCTGTGATGTTCCCACTTCAGGTCCCCAAATCCCCTCTGCTTGACTGATGAGTGATGGCGACTGTCTGAGGTGATTTTATTTGCTGCTTTCTGCAGACGGAGTTTGCCGTGCTGAGGTATATCTCGGAACTGAGGAAAATCTACACCTTTTACAGCAGCTTAGGGCATGACCGCTCTCTTGACAACACCTTCCTGATGACCAAGCTTCAGTTCTGGCGGTTCTTAAAGGACTGCCGCTTCCATCACTGCAACGTGACCCTTGCTGACATGGATCGGATCCTGAACGGTTTGTAGTCCCCGTGCATGGGTTGTCTGCCCACTCTTACAATGGTTGTGACTGAGTGACAAAGCCATAAACACAACTGAGGGCCTGAGGTGCAGTTTGTTGGGTTCGGAATATTTCTGTTGAGCGTGAGGGGTGTGAAGATCCAAAGTACTTGGGCAAACTTGGGATGGTGGGTGGGGATGTTTCTGTAGACTTCCAAGTCTTCTGTATTTAACCATTCATGGCTGCAGGGAAAGGAGCTGGGGATCTGGGACCTGAATGAGTGATTTTTTATTTTTTTCCCTGTTGGACACATTTGATGTCTTCCCAAATTAGCTCACAAATCACTCAGTAAGCTCGCAGTGCCCAGCTGCGTCTTCTGCGGCCCTGTCTCCAGATAGCAGCCTGAATAGCCCCCTCTCGCCTGATCTCTCCAGAGCCTGGAAGGTGAGCAAGGGCCTCCCTGTTAAGAGTTGGATGGGAAAGCACTGAGCCAGTCAGGGGCTGCTCTGCAGAGGAAAGCAGTGGCAAAACCCTCTCTGTTCATCTCTCGCCTTGATAACCCCATGAGGCGGAACTTCACGGGGCTGCGATGAATCGGTCACAATTTTATTTTATTTATTCATTATTGCATTTCTATCCTGCCCGCCCTGCGATCGGGCTCAGGGCGGCCCACGAACAAGGGCAACATGTGCCAGTATAAAACATTAAAAACAAAATAAAACAAGTATATTTAACAGTAATAAAGTGCTCAGTGATCGGATCAAGATGGTGACCTATAGATGTTAATCCAAAAGCCCGCTTCAGTGTTACCGACCCATTGCAATACTGTGACTAGATCTTTCTAATGGGCCATCCCATTACCCGTTATTGCCATGAGATAGTTGGTGGTGGTGGGAGTGGCGGCTCCTAATTGAAAGCCTGGCGGAAGAGCTCCGTCTTGCAGGCCCTGCAGAACTGTGAGAGGTCTCGCAGGGCCCTGATCTCCTCCAGGAGCTCATTCCACCAGGTAGGAGCCGCCACTGAGAAGGCCTTGGCCCTGGTTGCCACAAGCCTGGCCTCCTTAGGACCTGGGAACACTAATCGATGTTGGGCCCCGGACTGTAGTGCTCTCTGGGGTATGTATGGGGAAAGGCGGTCCCTCAGGTATGTCGGACCCTGGCCATATAGGGCTTTAAAGGTAAGTACCAGCATACTAGAGCACATTTATGTTGTCTGATCCTCAACACTGAGGGCCAAACCAGAAGTGACCTGGGGAATTCATGATTAGGGTCTCCTGTAATGCTCCCTCTCCTGCAATGCTACACCAAATGCCAGTTTAGTGTAGTGGTTGGTTAAGTGTGCAGACTGTAATCTGGGAGAACCGGGTTTGATTCCCCACTCCTCCGCTTGCAGTTGCTGGATGAACCTTGGACAAGCCATAGTTCTGGCAGAGCTGTCCTTGAAAGGGCAGTTCTGGAAAGAGCTCTCTCAGCCCTGCCTACCTCACAGGGTATCTGTTGCGAGGAGGGGAAGGGAAAGGAGTTTGTAAGCCGCTCTGGGACTCCGAATGAAGGGCGGGGTATAAATCCAATCTCCTCTTCTTCTCTAAGATGTGTGGAGTCTTGTGTGCAAAAATTCTGCTTTATGAGCTACTGGCATTAAAGTTGTGTGCGAGCGATTTGGCTACAGCATAAATTAGTTTGCTCTGTCGCCATCCTTCCTGAGCTAAAACAAACATGTGTGAGCCGGAGGCTAAAAAACGGTGAGCCAGCTCACACTACCTCAGCTTAGAGGAGCACTGGTCTCCTGTATCTTTTTCTTGTTTTAAGATTAAAAGCTTCCATCTAGGAGGGCAGTTTGAATCCAGGCTGCTGTTTGTGGTGGAGGAGGCCACAGAAATGCTGCCTGAATATCACTGTCCCAGCTCTATTCTTTTAAATAAATGATGTACGGCAGCTTAAGTGTACAGGGTGCATTGCAACATTGCTCTCGTAATGATATATATTTTTGTTCAGTATTTGTTAATTATTGCTTTTCCATAAAAGAGCCAGTTTGGTGTAGTCGCTCAGTGTGCGGACTCTAATGGGCTTATAATGCCATAGAGTCCACCTTCTAAAGCGGCTGTTTTCTCTGGGTGAACTTATCTCTGTCACCTGGAGACCAGCTGTCATCCCAGGATATCTCCGGCCACCTCCTGGAGGTTGGCAACCCTACTGGTTAATGTGGCAGGGTTGAGCATTTAGTACACACATCTGGATGACAGGGATATTCACTGTGTGTGGTGCATGACTTGAGGGTTTCTTTCGGTCATCTCTCAACCGTGTGTACCCTATCTGATTTATACCATTTGCCTCCTTTCTTTTTGGTCCTTGTTTGCGTTTGCAGATAAAATGTCTCTTGAAGAGATTCACTCCCCTTATGAGACGCTGCTGCTTCGAATGTTTCTGACCTACCTGATCTATTTGTCGTTCCACATCTATTACAGAGAGTTTGGGTGAGTGGGGCTGTTTGCTCAGCGGAGGGTCTGGTGTCGTATGGGGGCTTTGGAGGGCCGGCCGGGGAGAGGTGCTGTCGAAGTATTAGAGCTCCCTGATTTTGAGCACAGAACCACTGAGTGACTCATAATGCCCGACTTTAATGCAGTCTAGGCATTTCAGCCTTGAGTTCTTCTCTGGCTCGGAGTGTATCGCCAAAATGGAGACACCTCCCCCCATACCTTTCTTTCCTCCTCCTTTCCTCTGGCTGCCTTACCCAGAATGAGACTGTTGGCCTATCAAAGTCAGTCGTGTCTGCTCTGACTGGGACCATTTCTGCAGTTGTGACATTTTTAAACCTGCACATTATGTGAAAATTTCCACAGTAGATTTTTCCTCACCAGGTGCTGCAGACCCAAAGTTTTCTCCTCCTTACCCCGCATTTTCGGAACTCGCTAACACTGGGGCTTCCAAAAAAGCGGGGTAAAAAGGAGAAAACTTCTGTGCCTGGTGAGGAAAAATCTACTGCGGAAAGTTTCACATAATGCGCAGTTTTAAAAACGTCAGTGCGGGGAATTTCAGTACTCTGGAATTGGTGTGGCAGCGCCTTTCCAGGATCTCAGGTGGAGGTCTTCCTCATCCTCTGAGACCTGGTTCTTTTAGCTGGAAGGGCCAGGGATTGAACCTGGGATCTTCTGTATACAAAGCAGAAGCTCTGTCACTGAGCAGTGGCCCCTTTGGGAGCAATGTCCCCTCTAAGCTGAGTTAGTGTGAGCTAGCTCACCGTTTTTTAGCCTCTGGCTCACCCATTTTTGTCTGGAGCCCTCAGGCAGGAGGGCTCTAGAGCAAACTAATTTATGCAGCTGCCAAATCACTCGCTCACAACTTTAATGCCAGCAGCTCACAAAGTAGAATTTTTGCTCACAACACAGCTTAGAGGGAACATTGCCTGGGAGCTGTTCCTGTGGCAAGCCACAGCAGCCTGGCAATAGCAGGAGGAGGGAAGACTCTCTCTCATTCTCCACTTAAGCGCCTTTAGCGCTGTGTCAGAAGCATCAGAGGTGCTCCGTGCACCCGGCTAAATGCCGTTCCCCTTAAGGGTGCCAGACGATGGCCAGGACACATCTGGTGCCCGTGATGCTGATGAAAGGGGCGTTTCACAAGGAACTCATCTCAGTTCTTCTGGCTGCTGCCCATTTTAACAATCACCACAGTATGGAAATCCTCAACACCTCTAACATTGAATGGCTGGTATGGCAAGATATGGGACGAGTTTGTAATGTCCAGAATCACTGACCCTTTACACCAAGCACAAACTGGCTCCCACAAAGTCTATTCTAAGTTGGTTCTCACCTGGGCCCCCGTTCTGCAATTTATGCAAGATCAAGATCTTTGACATGGTCTCTGTGCTTCACACCCATGGGATACAGTGCACCTGTGCTGGATCGATCGGTATTGTAGCAAGCTCTAAATGGATTTTCGCGCCCAAACCTCAGGCATGCGCAGGAACCCCACCTCGCATGCCCAGAGGGGTGGGCACGGACATCCCGCCAGTTACTTTCTTTCCGCCGCGCTGGAAGCACCTTCCTTTCGTCGGTCAGATTGGTGGCTATTTTTCCTCAGAGGCTCTTTGGATTTTTCTTCAGCGAGGTGAGTTGGAGAAATACTGGCTTTCAGACACGACACTCCTTACTTCTCATTTTTGCCAGACGGCGTCCACCTCGTACCTGACATCTCATTCCTGCCAAAGGTAGTATCAGAATTTCACCTACAGGCAGAGGTCTTCCTCCCGGATTTCTTCCCAGCTCCGGCATCCCCAGAGGAGAGGCTGTTACACACCTTGGATACAAAGCATGCACTTCTGTTCTACCTAAACAGAACCCGTCCAACGAGACGTGACTGTCAACTGTTCGTTTCGTATGCCCCAGCAAAGCTGGGAACTTGCATCACGGCTCAGCATTTGTCAAGGTGGATTGTAGGTCTCATCGCCTCTGCTACCTTATCGCCAAGGAGTCATTGCCTGGCCCTGTCAGGGCTCATTCAACCCGAGCTGTTGCAGCCTCAACTGCCTTCCTCCAGGGAGTTTCCTTAATGGACATTTGCAGTGCCGCTACGTGGGCTACGCCTAACACGTTCATAAGGCACTACGCCCTAGATGTCTGGAAGAACTCTCGTACCAACATGGGACGTCACATCTTATCTTCAGCTTCGCAGTAATGACCTGCCAGCACCCTCCTCCAGATAGGTCACTGCTCGCTAATCTCCCATGGGTGTGAAGCAGAGACCACGTCGAAGATAAACAGGTTGCTTACCTGTAACTGATGATCTTCGAGTGGTCATCTGTGCATTCACACCACCCGCCCTCCTTCCCCGCTGCTGTCAGCTTCTACATTTTTCTTAGGGGTTGATTCGTGGCAGTTTGACGGAACTGGTGGGATGTCCGCGCCCACCCCTCTGGGCATGCGTGGTGGGGTTCCTGCGCATGCCTGAGGTTTGGGCGTGAAAATCCATTAAGAGCTTGCTACAATACCAATCGATCCAGCGCAGGCGCACTGTATCCCATGGGTGTGAATGCACAGATGACCACTCGAAGATCATCAGTTACAGGTAAGCAACCTGTTTATCTCCTTCCCTCTAATGTCAGCTACCACACTTGGCTCTGTTTATAAGGCATCCTATGCCCTTGCCTCCTGTTGAGACCTCTCAAGGCTGGCAGCGTTCCTTTTTTCACCATCAGTTCTACTCCCTTTTACAGAATATAGAATTTTTTCCCCCTTTTATACGATACCCACCCTACTTAGGATATTTGTTCGGATTTCTTATGGGATAATGCCAGGCGTAAGCTGATACCTCTTCCCACACGAATTATACTTATTGGATTTTGCACGGTAGTTAATAGTTCTAGAATGTTCTGTGTGCAGGTCTCATTACTTGTAACCAGGGGTCTTGTTGTAGAAAAAGAGCTGCCGGAGCTCATTAGCATAACTCATTAGCATAACTTATTTGCATATGCCACGCCCCCTGACATCACCGGAAGTGACAGAAGGCCACACCCCCTGACATCACCGGAAGTGTGTCAGAAGGCCCGGCTACTTACCCTCCTGCTTCATCCTCATTCCCAAACGGAATGAGGATCGAAGCAGAGGGCGGGGTAAAGAAGGGGGCGGGGCTTCACCACGTGACCGCCCCGCCCCCTAGAGGTTCTCTTCCGGAGCTCCGTACCTGAGAGCCCCCCCCCGACTAGAGCCCTGCTTGTAACTCATTGCTTTGAGACTGTGCTCGGCTTTGATGTCTTCAGTTTACTCCGTACCGTAAACCTGAATTCAAAGAATGATTTGATTGATTGATTGATTGATTGATTCAATTTCTTCCCCGCCTTTCCAGCCAAGGCCGGAAGTTTGAAAATTGAAGGGGAAGAAAATGAAAAGGGCATTTGAGGACCTGATGGGGAAGCGGGGGGGGGGAATCCTGGGGATTTAAAATATCTATGGTGGTTTAAAACCCCTCCTAAAACAGAGAAGCAGCTTTTAAAAAAATGCCAGCCTGGATCCCTGAGATCCCAGGAGGCATTAGGAGGTTGCTTAGCAACCGTACACACACGAAGCATCTTTCAAAAAAAAAAAGGCCATTGTGGGAGGGGGAAGAGATAGCGAAGGCAAAAGACAGGGGAAGCGGGAGCCCCTGAACATCTTTCTTTCTAGTACATCTTTAGGCAGCCTAGGTAACCTGGCCCTCCCTGGCAAACCTTGTGGGAGAGGTACTCTGTGTGTCTGCACAGGACACCTATGGGGGAGCCTTGTACCCATCTCCAGTTTGGTGTAGTGGTTAGGAGTCTCATCTGGGAGAACCGGGTTTGAGTCCCCACTCCTCCACACGCAGCTGCTGGGGTGACCTTGGCTCAGTCACGAGTTCTTTCAGAGCTGTTCTCTCCAAGGCCGCTCTGAGTGAAGGGTGGGGTATAAATCCAATCTCTTTTTCTTCTCCCTGACCATGGGTCCTCGCACCAACCAAGGCACCCATTGTGCTGTCAAAAAGATGAGTGCGTCCCTAGTTTTGTTGATACAGATCACGCAGCTTATCCACACGAATGAAATATGAATTCCCCCAAACTTTGGAGACTCACCAGTTATCAGGATTCCCAAGAGTATGAAGCAGCTATTGTACATTTTCTCTCTTGTTTTTTCCCCAGTGACACAAGCCCCCGTCTATTCAAGTGCTTCTCCAAAATGATGACGAAGAACATCCTTCCCAATGCTTGTCAGATCAAAGGTAGGATGTGTCCGCCTCCCCTCTCCACCCCTGCATGCTTATCTCAGATTTCTCAAGTGGTTACACAAACTTTAAAAAAACCCTTCTACTTTTTCGCTACTCTTCTCTACAGGCGTTTTGTTCAGCAACCGGCAAGAAACGGTCTGTGCTGTCAATTACATCGACAAGTGCTGGGTGATTTACAAAGCTTTCTGCAGACCAAGGCCCTTAGGCCCTTACGAGCCTACTATGAAAATGAGGCATTTCGTCTGGATGCTGAAAGTAATTGTTGGGGCGAGTTTATTTCTGGGATATGAGTGAGGTTTTTACCCTCCCTTGGGAGCTGGGTGGAAAGTTCACATAGCGAGAAGAAGAGATTGGATTTATATCCTGCCCTTCACTACTCGAAGGAGTCTCAGAGCGGCTTACAAACTCCCTCCCCTCCCCGCAACAGGCACCCTGTGAGGTAGGTGGGGCTGAGAGAGCTCTGACAGAAATTGCTCTTTTTCAAGAACAGCTGTGCCAGAACTATGGCTTGCCCAAGGTCATCCAGCCAGGTGCAAGTGGAGGAGTGGGGAATCAAACCCAGTTCTCCCAGATTAGAGTCCACGCACTTAACCACTACACCAAACTGGCTTCTCTACCCTCCAGTGAGAGGCTGGCTGTGGAATATTGCATAATTTTTTTAGTAAAACATTTCTGTCCCACCATATCTCCTTGAGAGTCAAGGTGAACAATGCAGCAACTGCATTGCAAGGATATAGAGCCAATTTGGTGTAGTGGTTAGGAGCGCGGACTCTAATCTGGGAGAACTGAGCTTGATTACCCACTCCTCCACTTGCAGCTGCTGGTGTGACCTTAAATTAGTCATAAGTGCTTTCAGAGCTGTTTTCTCAAGGGCAGTTCTCAAGAGTTCTCTTTCAACCTCACCTGCCTCACAGAGTGTCTGTTGTGGGGAGGGGAAGGGAAAGGAGATTGTAAGCCTCTCTAAGACTCCTTTGGGGTAGTGAAGGGCGGGGTATAAATCTAATCTCTTCCTCCTCCTCCTCCAAGTTAAACAGATTAAAACACAGCATCTACCAATTATAAAAAGCATCCTGATTTAAAACAAATGTTACACCACGCAGGATCCGCCAACCTGCAGTGAAATCTGCTGGGAAAATTCACCTTCTACCAAATGCTCGTTGCAATAGGACTGCCTTTACATGCCTTCCTAAAGATGGCATTAAATGCATGGACCTGCACTCTGTCTGTTTAGGGCTTTTGGGATGAACATCTGAGCTTGGTGGGTTCATACCATGGGCAATTAAGTATCACTGTAAGTAGACATACCAGAAGAATACTTTTTTGCAGTCAAGTCACAGCCAACCTATGGCGACCTCGTAGGGTTTTCAAGGCAAGAGATGTTCAAAGTGGGTTAACCATTGCCTTTCTCTGCACAGCAATCCTGCACTTCCTTGGTGGTCTCCCATCCAAGTACTAACCAGGGCCGACCCTGCTTAGCTTCCAAGATCTGATGAGATTGAGCTAGCCTGGGCCATTCAGGTCAGGGCCCAGAAAACAATGGGGGATGTAATTAGCCACATGTCTCAAACATGATGGATATTCACTGAAAGGTGAATGTCATGGACAAGTGGTGAAGGTTGAAGTGGCCTGGTTAACGAAGACCAGTGCTTGCTGTTCATGCTAAATTCTTTTTAAAGTTTTGGGATTTTCCCACAAATCTGGGAGATTCACCAGGTTTGTAGAAACTTCCCTGCTTTCCATACCTGGTCCCAATGTATGAATTTTTTGATCCATACTCTGAGGCCAAGTTTAGAATTAGACACATGATGGTATAAAGTATGGATGGAAATTGTGGGTGCCTGAAGTACAGCATGAACCAAAGTCCTAAGATAAGTGCCTTTCTTTTATTGTTGCCTTGTTAGAACCCCAAGAAGACCTCCAACCTGTGTGTTTCAACTGAGGGGAGAAAAATATGGACGATGCAAAAGTCCATGTGTCTGTGAGCCCTAATGCCAATGAAGGATAAAATGCTAACAAAGACCAGCAGTGAGAGGTTACGAGGGCCCCCTCAAAGATATCATCAGTCTGTTCCTGAGTTCTGGGACCTTTCCCGAGGGGCTGAAGGAGGCAGTGGTTGTTCTGCTCCTGAAAAAAACGAACTCAGATCCTATGGATCTGACCAATTACCGCCCAGTCTCGAACCTTTCGTTTCTGGGTAAGGTAATTGAAAGAGCTGCAGCCAAACAGCTCCAGAAATTTCTGGATGACCATCGGTGTTGGACCCATTTCAATCAGGCTTTCCACCCTGGCCACGGGACAGAGATGGCATTGGTTGCCCTCACGGACGATCTCCACAGACAGCTGGATCGAGGCAGGTCAACGCTGCTGATATCACTTGATCTTACAGCAGCGTTTGACACAGTCGACCACAGCCTGTTGACTCACTGCATTGCTGATGCTGGAATTCGTGGGGCAGCCTTGCAGTGGCTTACCACATTTCTCCATGGTCAGGGACAGAGGGTGGCGTTTGGGAGGACAGTGTCCGCAAGGTACCCACTTGAATGTGGGGTGCCTCAAGGGGTGCTTCTCTCCCTGATGTTAACATCCATATGTGCCCCCTCGCCCAGCTAGTGCGGAGTTTTGGGCTGGATGCCATCAATATGCTGATGACACCCAGCTATTTCTGTTGCGAGAGCCAGTTTGGTGTAGTGGTTAAGTGTGCGGACTCTAATCTGGGAGAACCGGATTTGATTCCCTCTCAGCCCCACCTATCTCACAGGGGTCTGTTGTGGGGAGGGGAAGGGAAAGGAGTTTGTAAGCCAGTCTGAGACTCCTTTGGGTAGTGAAGGGCGGGGTATAAATCCAATCTCTTCTTCTTCTTGATGGGTGACCGGCCAGATACCATCCCCAGGAATTTAGCTGAGGGTCTGGAGGCTGAGGTGAGATGGTTAAAACAGAGTCAACTGAAATTAAATCCAGGAAAGATGGAGGTTTTGTGGCTGGGTGGGGGAGAACCTTGTTCAGGTTGCCAGCTCCCAACTCTTGTGGGTGTGCCTCTGTCACCGGCACAGACCATCAGAAGTTTGGGCATGACCTTGGACTCTTCTGTATCTGTGGAGGCTCAGGTTATGAAGGTTGCCAGTCAGGCGGTTTTCCAACTCCGCCAGGTTAGGCAGCTGGCCCCCTACTTGTCTCACCCCAACCTAGCCACGGTAATCCATGCAACGGTCACCTCCAGGATAGACTACTGTAATTTGCTCTACACGGGCGTGACCCGAAAGCTCCAACTGGTCCACAATGCACCTGCCCGGGTCCTTACAGGGACCCCTTAGACAGCACACATTCAACCAGTGCTGCATGAGCTGCATTGGCTTCCAGTGGAGCACCAGATCAGGTTCTGGTTTTGACCTTTAAAGCCCTTAGTGGTCAGGGACCTACATATCTTTGGGACTGCACTCCCATTATGCCCCTGGAAGAGTATTACACTCAGGAAATAAGAACTTCCTGGAGGTTGTTTTATGTATTGGTATTTATTAGTATGCTATTTTGTTGTAAGCCGCCCTGAGCCCTACTTGTAGGGAAGGGCGGCCTAGTAAATCCAATTTAATAAATAAATAAATAAAATTTCAACTCTCCAGGATTTAAGACTCGTAAGCAAGCAATTAAACGCCACCAAAATTGTGGATATCCTGGCAAAAGACAGTCCCTGTGTTCGGGATGGCGAGGACACTAATTTAGAGAAAGAGGTACGCTTGTTTAATAAGAAAAACGCTGAAACATTGCCATTGTTATAAATTTTTGCGGCAGTAATAGGAACTGCCAGTGCAGTGCACTAGTCTGCAGGGACTTGGGCTTCCCTCTGAAGCACCGTCTTGCTTTTTGCTCCAGCTTGTTTTCCTGGAGTTTTTTGAAGCCCTCCTCGACTGCGCCTCGCTGTATGTCACTGACGAGATGTTGAAGCAGCAAGCAGAATGGGTCAGCCAGGTGGGAAGCAGCGGCCGACCGACCGACTACTCCATAGGACTCAAGATTTCCCCGACGACTCTGGAGTTGTCTTCTCATCAGGTAAACTCTCTGCGGTCGGCCATGTTAGCATTTAGGGCCAGATTTCCGAAGCTGCTGTGCTAGACCTGTCCCTAACCTGGATAGCCCAAGATGGCTTTACCTCATCAGATCTCAGAAGCTGAGCAGGGTCAGCCCTGGTTTGTATTTGGAAGGGAGATCACTAAAGAATACTGGGGTTACTACGTGGAAGCAGGCAATGGCAAACCACCTCTGAACATCTCTTGCCTTGAAAGCCCCACAGGGTTGTCCTAAGTCGGCTGTGACTTGATGGCAAAAAAAGAAAAAAAAGTAGACCTGACTCTTTAAATGTGGGTCCATCCCAGTGAAGCAGAGATGGGAATTGAAGGCTGATGGAAGAGCAGACAAAGTAGACTGGTGAGGGGTGTAATTCACCTTTTCACATTCTGTCTGGACATCACTTTGGGTCCCCCCTTCAGGTGGCTGCAAACCTAATGGAAATTCACTTTGAGGCAGCGGGACAGACAAAAGACGCTCCTTTTTTTCTTCATGGAACACACAAGACTAACTTGTGAAACTCAACCGCTAGATGTAGTGAGGACCACTAACGCAGATTGTTTCAAAACGGGCTTTAGACAAATTCACGGCGGGTAGGTCTGTGGGCTTGAAGTGGGCTTGAAGCTCAACATCAAAAAAACTAAGATCATGGCATCCGGTCCCATCATTCCTTGGCAAATAGAAGGGGAAGTCGTGGAAGTAGTGACAGACTTCACGTTCCTGGGATCCCAGATCACCGCAGACTGTGACAGCAGCCATGAAATTAAAAGACGCCTGCTCCTTGGGAGGAAAGTGATGGCGAACCTAAACAGCATGATAAAAAGTAGAGACATCACCCTGCCAACAAAAGTCCGCATGGTCAAAGCAATGGTATTCCCAGTAGTCATGTATGGCTGTGAGAGTTGGACTATAAGGAAGGCCGAGCGCTGAAGAATAGATTCTTTTGAACTATGGTGCTGGAGGAGACTCTTGAGAGTCCCTTGGACTGCAAGGAGATCAAATCAGTCAATCCTAAAAGAAATCAACCCTGACTGTTCCCTGGAAGGCCAGATAATGAAACTGAAGCTCAAATACTTTGGCCACCAAATGAGAAGGGAGCCTCACTGGAGACTGAAGGTCAAAGAAGACGGGGACGGCAAAGGATGAGATGGTTAGACAGTGTCATAGATGCAACGAACATGAAATTGAGCAAACGTCAGAGGACGGCGGAAGACAGGAAGGCCTGGCGTAATCTGGTCCATGGGGTCGCGAAGAGTCGGACTCGACTGTGCGACTGAACAACAACAAAGGTCTGTTGACTGCTAAATGGAACCTCCGTGTCTGGAGGTAGTATATCTCTGAATACACTATCTTGTCTTTTCCCCTACCCTCCTCAGTCGTTTCAGAGCAGCAGTACGAGTAGCTCCAAAGCAAGCAGCGAAACTAGAGACACGGCCACTTGCTATGTTAGCGCCAAGTCTTCTGCGAGCAAGATTGTGCACTTTGTTGACGCTTCGAAAGCGAAGATGAAGGTTGGTGGTGGTGGGGATTGCCTTTCCGCCTTCTCTCCCCTGTAAGACAGCGAGCGAAGAAAAACGAAGCCAACTCCTGGATTCAGCTGTTTCTGAACAATCTTGTCACCACGGTCTAGAGAGAGACCTGGGTCTGGGGAGATATGGATTCAGATCCCCTCTGTCAGAAATACCCACACCAGGGGAGTGGCAACAGCTTTAATTTGAACGCAGCATCATTGTGGAGAAATGTAGGGCTGGATCCAAAGGATCTGTTTGGCTAACAGTGGTACCTTCCTCCAGAGGAAGCACTCCTCTTGCTGGACGAAGGCTCTTCTGCTCGTGGAACAGAATCTGTGGCTCCAGCCCCTGAAGTGTGCATATCTACTTATTTTTTTCCAAGGTTATTTATAGTCTGTCTTTCAGCTAAAGAGGCTCCAATGTCATTTACAAAATACAATAAAAACCATCAATGAGCTAGTCAAACGCAGGAAAGAGTTGAGTATCAATGTTTAAAAAGCAAATAGAAATCACCAAGTCATTTTCCCAATATTGTTACACCATTCTTTACCTATCTGCTTCTAATACCCTTCAGCATAAGTGGCAGGTAAGAAATACGCACATCTTTTCCCTGAGTGGCGTTCGAAGTTAGGTTTGAAATGGCCACAAAGAAAGCCTGCCTTGGGAGGCCAGTGTAATACAGTGGTTTGCGTGTCAGACAAGGATTGGATATATATTTGGTGTAGTGGTTAAGTGTGCGAACTCTAATCTGGGAGAACCAGGTTTGATTCCCCACTTGCAACTGCTGGATGACCTTGGGCAAGCCATAGTTCTGTCAGAGCTGTTCTCTCAAGGACAGTCCTGGAAAGAGCTCTCTCAGCCCCACCCACCTCACAGGGTGTCTGTTGTGGGGAGGGGAAGGGAAAGGAGTTTGTAAGCCGCTCTGAGACTCCGAGTGAAGGGCGGGGTATAAATCCAATCTCCTCTTCTCCACTTTTGGGGGGTTGCTCTGTAAAGTATTTCAAATGGTGTCTGTGCAATGCTTTCAGTGTACAAAACATCTCAGATATATTGTTGTGCCAATCCTTTTACAACAGGGCAGGTCAGAGTTAATGACTTTGTATTGCAGATAGAAGAGGTTGAGGCTCAGAGCGTCACTTGCCTAAGGCCACCTTGTAGCAAAGATGAGATTTGGAGGGCAAATAAATGAAGCTGTCTTAGACGGAATCAGGTCACTGGTCTGTCGAGGCCGATATTGCCTACTCTGACACGTGGGCAGTGGCTTTCTGTGGTCTCAAGCAGAGGTCTTTCGCATCACCGCCCACCTGATCCTTTTGAACTGGAGATGCCGGGGATTGAACCTGGGGCCTTCGGCATGCGAGGCAGATGCTCTACCACTGAGCCACAGCCCCTCATTCAAGGAGCAATGTCCGGGGCCACAGCCCACAACCTAAGCCAACACTGCTACTTGGCCCGGTCTGCCCTGGGTCCTGTCAAACTAGACACGCACTGTGAGGTTCTGTATGAAGCGGTTTTTGGAACATAATTCTCAGGCGTGTGGGGGCCTGGTTTAGAGTGAGACTGCGGGGAAGAGGGGCTTAAGATGCCATTTTCTGACCTTTCAGGCCCAAATTGGGCTCCCCGCAGACAGGGCAGTCCCGGAGATGTTGTAATGTGCGGTGAGGCCCTTGTTCTTTGGATCACCGTGCTTTACCGACCGCCACCTGTGATGTGACAGGTGATTGGCGTGTCCCCAATTCATACAGCTTTCCAATTCTGTTTCCATGGAAGGGAAAAGCCAAGGATGGTGAAAAAGAGGAGAGACCGTCTCGGCGTGGTTCAAAATCCTCCCAGAAAGAGAGATCAGGCTCCCTACAAGGAAGTCATACCGGTGAGTGTCGAATCTTCTCACTTCTGCAGGTTTGTGCCTGTTGGTGCTAAAGACTTGTTGCAAAAATCAGTAGATGAAAGGTGAACAACAAAAAAACATACCACCGCATAGTACCTGTCTGCACCAGAATATCAGTTGGATCGCAAGACTAAAACTCCGCCATATACAGACTCCTTGCATACAGGAAGCTAGTCTCAGGTGGGCAGCCATGCTGGTCTGAAGCAACAGAACAGAGTTGGGAGCAATGTTCCCTCTAAGCTGTGGAGTCTTGTGAGCAAAAATTCTACTTTGTGAGCTACTGGCCTTAAAGTTGTGAGTGGGTGATTTGGCTGCTGCATCAATTAGTTTGCTCTGGAGCCATCCCTCCTGAGCTAAGACCAAAATATGTGAGCCGGAGGCTAAGAAACTGTGAGCTAGCTCACACCAACTCAGCTTAGAGGGAACACTGGTTGGGAGTCCAGCGGCACCTTTAAGACCAACAGAGTTTAATTCTGGGGATAAGCTTTCATGTGCAGACACACTTCTTCGGATACACACGGAAGCTCACACCCAGAATTAAACTTCGTTGGTCGTAAAGGTGCCACTGGACTCAAGCCTTGTTAGAAAGCCAGCCTGTCCCTGTTTTGTTTATTACTTATTTTTAATACTGAGCCCCGGCAAGCCCCCCCCCTTTGAAAAATACAAAGAATGAAAACCATGCTTTACAAAAAGAAATAAATCATGTAAGCCAGAGAGAGCATCCTAAGGAACATGTTACATAGAGTCTGAACTGTGAGTGTGGGATGTGCATGCCTGTTGGGGGCTGCATTTCTCAATGTGGCAGAACTGTGCAATATATCGATAGCTGTTTCTTCTGAGAAGATAGTTTCAGGTGGGTGGCTGTCTTGGTCTGCAGTAAAAGAGCAGGATTTGAGTCCAGGGTCACCTTGTGTTAGTCTTTAAGGTGCTACTGGGCTCTTGCTCTTTTCTGCTGCTACAGATAGACTAACATGGTGACCCATCTTGAAGATTTCCAGGGTATTAGCTTTTGAGAGTCAGAGCTCCCCGGAAACCTAGCTGGTCTTTAAGGTGCCCTGGGCTCAAATCCTGCTTCTTCTAAAAACGTCTCCCAGCTGTGAACACAGAATGTTCTACAAATTTCTGCAAAATCTAGCCTTCCCCCCTCCCATTATAGTTGGGGTGGAGTCCCGTTAGGGACAGGGAGCCTTAAAAATGGGTGTGTTTTTAATGTGGGTGTGGGGGAGGGGCAGTGCCAGCTGTAGGAGGAGCTGGTGCACTGTAGCTTTTAAAGCCCTGAACTGGGATCTGAGAGGCCTGAGTTCAAATCACCACTCGGCCATAAAGCTTGCTGGGGGATCTTAAGCCGAGAGTACGCGACTGGCTTATCGCGGTTGTTGTGAGGATATAGAGAGGAAGGGGATGCCCGTGCATGGCGCTGAGCTCCTTTTGAGGAAAGGCAGGACAAAAACGGACTAGAGACAGCCTGGAAAGGAGCTTGGATTTAAGGGCCAAAGACAGAGTCGGGAACCCTCTGACTGTGGTCAAGAAAACCACCCATGGAGGGTGTGTGTCAAAATGCGTCTAGATCAGAAAAGCACGGAGTGCTGGGGTGTCATCAGAACCCACTTCTGACCCCCAGGTCGGGTCCAGACAGTTCCAGCTAGGGTTGCCATTTTCTCTAGGTGAGTCCTGGCGAACTCCCAGCATTGCAACTGATCTCCAGCCTAGGGGGGGATGGGTTTTCCTGGAGGAAACAGCCGCTTTGGAGGGTGGGCTCTTGCGGCATCACATCCCAGCTGAACTCCCTCCCTCCCCCAAGCTCTGTCTTATCCGGTCTCCACCCCCAAATCTCCAGGAATTCCAGAACCTAGAGCTGGCAACCTGATGTATCAGAGGAGGGGATGCCTTGCTGCTGCCCCCACCTCACACCAACTTTTGTTTTAGATCTTTAAATGAAAATGTGTTGGGGCACCACCAGTGCGTCGGCTTTGTCATTCCCCCCCCCCTCCCTTTCAGGTGCAACTCTGAACGTCACCTTCACCTCCGACGTGGTGCCTGCAGATGACAAAGAGGAAAGGGGAGCTCAGCCTCTGCTGGGCTTGGAAGAGGAGCATGGCCCCCTCCTCAGTACGCCCCTGAAAGAACTGGCCGGTAAGAGAATTTGACTGCAGGGGCAGGGATGGACTCTGGCTCGTCACTGCAGGCTGTCTTGCTCTGCTCGTACATGTTTAAATAATAGATTCATATATCTTTGGAGTAGTCGCCCACTCATAGAAACACTAGTTGAGTGATCATATTAGCCACTTCATTTTAAAATCAATGTGTGAGACAAAAAAAACCCCCATGCTTTGTTTGTTTTCAAGCTGATGCACATGTTTCATGGCAGACATTAGGCTGGATCCTGTGGATCCATTCTGCAAAAGAAGGAGAAGTGTACTTCTAGTGGAAGAAAGCAGTTCTCCTAGCAGAGTAGAACCATAGGATCCAACCTGTCATCTGTGAAGATGAAATTTGTCACCTACTGCAGGGTGTAGTGGTTAAGAGCGCTGACTCTAATCTGGGAGAAGCGGGTTTGATTCCCACTCCTCCGTATGCAGCTGCTGGTGTGACCTTGGGTCAGTCACAAGTTCTCTCAGAGCTGTTCTCTCAAGGGCAGTTCTCGAGAGAGCTCTCTCAGTCCCATCTACCTCACAGGGTGTCTGTTGTGGGGAGAAGAGGGGAAAGGAGATTGTAAACTGCTCTGGGATTCCAAGTGAGGGGTGGGGTATAAATCCAATCTCCTCCCCCTCCTCCTCTTCCTCCTCCTCCTCTCCTGTATCGGACAATGACATTTGCATCTGAAGAAGGGGTCTCTAGACCCCAAAAGCTCATTCTGGAATAAAATCTTGTTACTCGTCAAGGCCTGTGCTAGCCTGATCTCAGAAGTTACGCAGGGTTGGCCCCGGTTAGTCCTTGGATGGGAGACCACTGAGGAAGTCCAGGGTTGCTATGTAGAGGCCGGCAGTGGCAAACCACCTCTGGACCACTGTTCCCTCTAAGCTGAGTTAGTGTGAGATAGCTCACTGTTTTTTAGCCTCCAGCTCACACACTATTGTCTTAGCTGAGGAAGGATGGCTCCAGAGCAAACTAATTTATGCTGCAGCCAAACTGCTTGCTCACAACTTTAATGCCAGTAGCTCACAAAGTAGATTTTTTTGCTCACAAGACTGCACAGCTTAGAGGGAACATTGCTCTGGACCCACCTCTCTTGCCTTGAAAACCCCAAGGGGGGTCACCATGAGTTGGCTGCAACTTGACAGCAGTTTTCACCACCGGTCTTTAAGGTGTTATGAGATCTGTATATTTTTAGAAGAAAACCATGTGTGAAAAAGTACTTTTTTTTTTTTTTTGGTCTGTCCTGAAATCTTAACCTTTTAAGATCCCCAGATCTCTTATTTGGGCTGAATGTTAATACAAAAAATGGCAGGGAGGGTGGCAAAAATATTTCAGGGTGTGCTTGACAGATGAGTGTGAAGTGTGCCATTCATAGCCTTTGTGAAATGTGAGGCTGCACACACAAGAGGGCAGCAGAAGAACAGAGAAAAGGGAATCCGACATTAGTCTCTGCCTAAAGGGGGAAAATGGAATTTAACATTCTCATCTTTTTCCCCTCCAATATTTGCAGAATGTAAACGGGACTGTTCAATCCCGCTGGAATCTCACAGGATTTGAGCTGTGTAGTGGAATGACTATCTTTAAAAAAACAGAGTTGGAGTCAATGCTCCCTCTAAGCTGTGGAGTCTTGTGAGCAAAGGTTCTACTTTGTGAGCTTCTGGCATTAAAGTTGTGAGCGAGCGATTTGGCTGCTGCAAGAATCAGTTTGCTCTGGAGCCCTCCTTCCTGAGCTAAGACAAAAATGTGTGAGCCGGAGGCTAGAAAACTGTGAGCTAGCTCACACTAACTCAGCTTAGAGGGAACACTGGTTAGAGGCCAGCAGCACCTTTAAGACCAACAAAATTTAATTCTGGGTGTAAGCTTTCATGTGCATGCACATGAAAACTTATACCCAGAATTGACCTTTGTTGGTCTTAAAGGTGCTGCCGGACTCCAGTTTTGTTCTGTTGCTTCAGACCAAGATGGCTGCCCGCCTGAATCTCTCTTTTTTTTTTTTAAAGTCCGATTTGTTCTTCTTTGACAGAAAAGCTGGAAAAAGCCAAAGAAGACCTGAAGATCCGACTCAGTTTGTGGATGAGTCGCATGTACATCTTCTTTGTGAGGAATTTTTTTGCTAGCTACAAGCACTTGCAACGTGTGAAGGAGACCGTGTTGGACAACCGGGTGCGGGACGCGGAGCTGGCCGTGCAGAGGAGGATCAAGGAGGAGGAGGAGGAAGCCCGGTGAGTTGCGGGCTTTCGCGGACCCCCGTGGGTTTGAGCCTCTCCCGGTTTCACCACGGTCCATTTGGTCACAAAGCAACAAGGGCCCTCAGAGATCCTTTCCCCAGTGGGCTTCAGTGGAGCTGCCTCAAGAATGGCAATCGGTCAGCTGACTCTTGCCGCCATCTTGTCATGTCATAGAATCCTAGAGTTGGAAGGTACCTCCGGGGTCATCTAGTCCAACCCCCTGCACAAGGCAGGAAATTCACAAATACTTCTCCCCTCCACATCCTCAGTGACTGCTGTTCCACGCCCAGATGACGACAAAAAACCTCCAGGATCTCCAGCCAAACCGGCCTGGAGGAAAATTGCTGCCTGACCCCAAAATGGTGATCGGCATTTCCCTGGGTGTGTAAGAGAGGGCTGGCCTTACAGTAGCAGTTAAGGGGGTGCCTTCTCTCATTTCCTTTGCACTTTCCAGGGATCCCAAGAGGTTTTTTTGCCATTCGCTGGCATAGAGCAGGGGTCCCTGGGGGAGTGAGGGAGTGGCTATGAATTTCTTACATTGTGCAGGGGGTTAGACTAGATGACCCTTGGGATCTCTTCCAGCTCTATGTTTTTATGTTGTGCAGCCACATTATGGGCTTCTCCCACATGGCTTGATGTGGCCAGGGTTATCTTTGGAAGCTCCAGCAGATCCCACGCTCTGAAGGTAACCCACCAGGGAACCCAGACAGTGGATGGGTATTTCAGCGGCATACTGTTTTCTTCCATGCCTCTTGTGGGATATGTTTTCTTGTTCCTGGGAACCCGCTTGTCCAAATGCCTCTCTTCCAAGAGCTAGAGTCAAGTCCAGTAGCATCTTGGAGACCAACAAGTTTTGCAAGGCAGAGGCTTTGGAGAGTCTTACCTTTCCTTCATCAGATACTCTCTTCTAAGAAGATAGCTCCAGGTGGGCAGCCGTGTTGTTCTGGAGCAACAGAACAAAGTCTGAGTCCGGTGGCAACTTGAAGACCAACAGAGTTTTATTCTGGGCATCAGCTTTCGTGTACATGCACAAGAAAGCTCATACCCAGAATTAAACTTGTTGGTATTAAATGTGCCACTGGACTCAAACTTTGTTCTGTTGCTTCAGACCAACTTCGAAGAAGTGTGCATGCGCGCAAAAGCTTATGCCCAGAATTAAACTTTGTTGGTCTTAAAGGTGCCACCGGACTCAAACTTTGTTCTCTTCTAAGAGGCTCTTTTAGCCGGTCCCAAGGTGGCTTGAGCATTATTGAGCATTATCCCTCGTGGCATCGTCGTCACATAGGCCTTCTAGCACTTTGGAAATTGGGCTCCATCAAACCTCACTTTTTCTATATGGTTGTCAAAGCCATCATGATGTGGTTGATGAAAGCAATTTTTTTTTTGGACCACTCAGGTCCCCTAGAGTTTAACTTTCTGACATGGGGACATTCATTCTGTTGGGGAAAACAACACCTACTCTTCAGGGGAAGGGAGCATTAAGCCCCGTGGTGATGATTTTTTTGCCTGCGCCGTCTCTCTTTCCACGTTTCCTCATTCTCAGTTGAGCTTATTAGTAGCATGGGCTTTAAAAAGAAGCTTCAAGTCTATCCAATATTTTGAGTCTAAAAAACCCACCAGTATTGGGTGGGCAGCTGTGTTGGTCTGCATAGAACAGCCAGATTCGAGTCCAGGTCTACCTTAGAGGTTTCCAGGGTATAAATGTTTGGTATTTGGTGAAGGGAGCTTTGACTCTCAAAACCTAATCCCCCTGTAAATCTTTTTTATTTGGGGGGGGTTTGCATTTGTGTGTGCCTGTGCCTGGAAGTCATGGTGACCTCTGTCGACTCCTACGGGGGGCACGGAGGATATTCAGAGAAGTGGCTTGAGAGCCTGCCTCTAGCCTCCCAGCCCTGGTATTCCAGGGAGGTCTCCCATCCAAGTACTTGCCAGGGTCAGCCCTGCTTAGCTTCTGAGATCTGACGAGATCGGGCTCGCCTGGGCTATCCGGGTGAGGGAATCCCCTGGAAGTCTTGTTGGGCCCAAATCCTGCTCTTTAAATAAAAGTTGTGTGAAGAAAATACCTGATTATCCTTATACTAATAGCTAAGTTGCCCCCGTGAGTGCGGATATCTAAATCCGAGCTCCGGGGGCAGCTGGGGGGCAGGGAGAGGTGTGTGCACACGTGGGGCAGTCCCCACGTGTGCACAAAAATGCTAAAAGTTGAAAATTCGGGGGATGTTTAAAATCCCCCCGAAAGTGACAGAACGTCCCCTGCGCATGCGCAGGGAACGCTCTGTAGCTGGCCTCGCCGCCGCCTCCTCGGAGCAGGGCAGGCGGGGAGGACTCCTCGGAGCTGGCAGGGGGGGAGGACCGGCCTCGCCGCCGCCGCCTCGGAGAGATCGAGCGGGGGGGGATGGAGGAGACGGAGCTCTTCTCCCCCCCCTCGCGAGTATCGCGGGTCCCCCTCTTGTTTTTATATAAATTCAAACTGATCAAATATAACAATGTATTGAAATTTACAACCACAAATCAATACCATAGATGCCAATTACCAACAATGTCAGTCTGGATCTACAGAGTAATCCAGTGGTCTCCCATTAAGGGGAAATTCAGTCCCTGCCTCCTCTGCTCTTCCAGGTGAGCTAGCGAAATGACAATCCTGTTTCACACGAGCTCTGTCAAAGAAGAGACCGTCTGTGTACTCATAACAATTCAAAACACACGTTCCATGCTGTGACCGTTCACCTCAGATCAACAAAATTCTTGAAGCTTTATAGACAATTACCAACTAGCTCATGCACTCATCTGTTATGGAAATTCTCAATTGGACAAGATCGGGCTTGCCTGGGCTATCCAAGCCAGGGCATTTCCCTGGAAATCTCGTTGGTCCTGACATTGCTGTTGGGCTCAAATCCTGCTCTTTAAATAATAGTCAGCAAGCTTTACCGTGAAGTTACTTGTAGTTCTGTCAGCTCCCCAGCTAAGTCACTCTCCCCACACACTATTAGCAGTGAAATGTTTATTAGAGATATGCTTGCTGTAGGTTCAAGAACTTTTGTTAGGACTGAAGAAAACCATGGGAACTTACAGGTTATAGGTAAAAGCATAAAATTCCACACACACCCACATCACACCTACCCCTGGTTTTTCTGTGGCAACAGTGTGATATAGATGTTGCCCTATCTACCCGAAGCTAGGGTCAGCAAGCTGCCAATATGTCTTTTCCATGCATATGAGATGTGTCCATCCCCCCCCCCCCTTTCCTTCCCTGGGTTGGCTTAGACTCTTGTGCGCATGTCCCCCCTCACCCTCATGCAATCATCTTCAACTGCATTCCTTTCCATGTACGCTAGCTGTGCTTTGAAGGAACCTTATCTGCCAAGGCTACAGGTGGTTTGCGTTTGGAGGCTTTTTGCTTAGTCTATAATGAACAGTAGTGTGAGAATAGAATAATTGTTTAATCAGCTACAACCGTTGCTTTCTCAGGGTTTGAACGCGCGATGAGTCCTCAGGGCGGGCGCGGGAACCATATCTATTGGCCCATGTTATTTTAAACTTGCTTTATTATACCTGTCTCAAGCACCTTGTGTTATTCTGAACAGAGAATCTGTTCTAAGTACTTCATGGCTTCAATAAAATAAAACCTTCCTGCAAGAGTGTATTTCATTGTTTGCTGTGAGTCTGACAGCTAGGCACAAAGATTCTCCAAGGTCAGTCTCATGGGAACCAATACTTGGGGCACAGCTTCAGGAAAATTATGGCGCCTACTCCCATGCACTCTGACAACACCCCCCCCCTCAGGAATTCAACATGACAAGCGAAGGTGAAGAAAAGCAGAACTTAAGGAAAATGAAAGTTAAGCCTGAGCTTGACAAGTTCAGGGCTTAAAGCACTCGCTTTGCTTGCAGGTGGCCCCAGGTTCAGTCCATGCTTCATCTTCATTGAAAGACTCTTGGTCGGTAGATGTTTGGGAAGACCCTTCTCTGCCCGAGAGCTGTTGCCAGTCGGAGAAGATGGTGCTGAGCTAGATGGGCCAGCAGCCCCCCAGGCACAAAGCCACTTCCTTCATTCAGGGCTCTTCCTTGCATTTGCATCTTCTACATAATTGAACCTGCAGCGCTCCCTGCCCCAAGCTCACTTGTAACGGCTTATGTCAGCACACCCTGATTACCTTTTCCAGTTTGGTGTAGTGTAGTTGCTGTAGGAAGGGCACTCTAGCGCCCCATGGCTAGGAGCCCCACGCGAGGGCTCTGGGGGTGGCGCGGACAGTCACGCCCCCTCCCCACCACGGGCTTTGGCGGTTGTCTCCCGGAGTTCCGGGAGAAAGCGGCCGCCATGGTGAACGCCGAAACCGGAAGAAAAGTATATAAGAATATACAAGTATATAATAAAAGTTTTTTTTTAAAGCAGGGGTTGTCTTACATTTAGGGTTGTCTTTCTTCGGGGTAAATGTGGTATTTGTACCAGGTGGAGATGGCACAGAAGTGACTAGGGTGACTTTAATCACTCAGAGGTTTTAGAATTGTGGGGATATGGGGGATTGGTCTCGGCCTTCTTGTCGAGGAACTTTTCATGCAGGGTTAAGTCTCCCAGGAGCAGGTAAGGAAGCTACTGAAGCAAGTACCCATTTTGGGTAACGCACCTTGGGACTGTGAGCGGACACATGAAACACTGTTGGGACTGAAATTAGGAAAGGGATGAGATTTTAGGATAGGATTAAACGGATATGCCTTTCATTAGGTAATTCACACTGCAGGAAGTTGCCAACTCTTGGTCTTTGCTTAGCCGTTGCAGCTATATTCAAAGAAAGGGAGATTTTTTTTAAATTGCAGGAAGATCTGCTTTTTTGGAAGGCAGAAAAATGTCTTTCACTGTGAGCTTCTGCACTTGCAGAACAGCTAGGTTCAAGCCCAGTAACACCTTACAAACCAAGTTTTTGGGGCTATAAGCTTTCCAGAGTCAAAGTTCTCATCATCAGATGATGCATCTGCAAGGCTTGCTTACAGAGCTAT